TCCACCCCGGTCCGGTGAGCCTGCTGCATTGGAGCGGGAAGGGGAAGCCGTGGGCCCGGCTCGACGACGGGAAACCGTGTCCCTTGGATCATCTGTGGGAGCCGTATGATCTGTACGAGCGCCGCCGCCGCCGGGACGGTGGCAACGGGAAGCTACACAATCTTGCTTTGAGTGAGAGGACCAATTCTTTATTTTATTAATTTTTTTAAAAAATATTTTCTTTTTATTTATTTATTTATTTGTTAATGGATTTGTAGCCTTTTTAGTGATTCTTTTTACTCGTATTATTTTAAATTTTGTTAATGATTGGTTTGTTGGTTGGCTGGCAAAGAGAGTGGAAATTCTATGCAGTATTGGGCACCACGTACATATATTGATATTCTTGTACAAGTAGATTTATTGATTTATGATGTGCTTATAAAGAAAGGTATGGAATTTAGAAAGATTGAGTTAAAATTTGCAAATATTGAACCAATATCTTTGAACCAAAATTTCGGTTAATGTGTAAGAACACGTTGTCACCTTATTTGTCAATGTTTATGCTTACTTTGGTCTCAAATAAAATTTAGTTTTAAACGAATAAAAATTTTAAAATTTTCATTTTTTATTTAAATATTACGTAGTATATAATTTCTATAATTTTTTAATATACAAATTACAAGATAAAATGGATTAAAGAGGTGTATTGGATGGTGTGTAAAAATGAAAGTGGACAAATACTCGAGGACGGAGGTAGTAATTTTTAAAAAAAGAGTAAATTCTATAATTGGTCCTTTATAACAGGAGGATTTCCCTATTTAGCCCTCTATTATCAAATATTACATAATTGGTCCTTCTTTTATGGGTACCTTTCCACAAATAGTCCTTTCTTTGATCTTCTATCATGTTGATATTAATTTGAGGGCTAAAAGTGTAATTTCACAATGATAATATATCTTTTTTGTCATACACAATTCCAAAGGCTGTTCCGTTTGCGTCGTTTGTGAATTACAGTCACTTTTTACGACAATTATAGTCTATAAATGTGATCTTTTGTCAGAATTCTAACCCACAATCATAGTCATTATTTTGTGTTATCTGCTTAACTAATATCAGATCACGTCACTAGACATAATGTTGACGTCAAATTATATTTTTAGGCTTTAAATTAACACCAACACGGTAGAAGATAAAAAAAGAACCATTTGTGGAAAGGTACCCTTAAAAAAAGGACTACGGGGGTAATATTTGATAATAGAGGACTAAATATGGAAAACCCCCCTGTTATAAAGGACCAATTATGGAATTTACTCTTAAAAAAATTTAAGATTTCACTTCATTTTACGTAAAGGGTAAATAATTTAGGGACGGATGAAATATATCAAAATTACATTTTAAAACAAATCCAAAGATATTAGATTTATATTATAATTAAATATATTTTTCGACATAATTTATAATTTAAATTAGTATAAAAATCAAACTATTCCCTCCGTCCTGCTATATTTGTCCACTTTTGACTTTTGGAACTGTTCATCTAAGCACTTTGACTCATCAAATTCTCTCAATGTGTAAGCCTAAATATAATCATGTGTGATCTTGTTTGATTTGTCTTAACATATAGATTATTAATATATAATTTCTATACTTTTTTAATATACAAATTACAAGATAAAATGAATTAAAGAAGTGTATTGGATGGTGTGCAAAAATGAAAGTGAACAAATATTCTTGGACGGAGGGAATTTATTTAGCCAACCAACTAAGCAATAGCATAGGTCTATAGGTTGTAGACTTGTAGATAAGGTTAGAGTTTTTGGCATAATAATTATTTAAAGGAGCTATAAGGGTGCCTAAAACAACAAAAGTGTAGGCAATCCAGCAATCTTCCAGCTCATTTGGGCTTTAGTTCTTGACTTTTCGCCATGTTCTTTTTCTATTCTACTACTGTAGTATAATATGGCTTCACTCTCCAACCATTTTAGCTTTTTAAAAGAATATCTAGTCTTCTTCTTTTGCATTTGAAATCAAAATTATTATTTTGGATAAATGATTAGTTCTATCATTAAATTTGTTTAAATTATTATATTCGGATGTATGATGTTTGTTTTATATCGGATAAATACTTATTTTGATAGATTTAGCCCACCAATTATACATACACAAATAATAATAATAATAATAAAACTCTCGAAATAATGATTTTAATGTAGCTTATATTAGTTTAATTCAGCTTGGGCTTACAATGAAAGTTTTACCCACTATTTATAGTATACATATTACGACATACATGACATGTAATTGTTGTCTTGATTTCTCTGCACAATTGATATGACGTGCGTCAATTATGAGCACAGAATTAGTCATCAATCATCCATGATTCATTGGATTAAACATTCCCTCACCTGCTCATCTAAGCCCGGGCCCAATCTCTTGTGTAATTCTCTCATCGGTCCACTTTACACCAAAACTTTGTTTGATAACTTGTTGGGTCGATCCTTATATTAGCTGAGACCAAAATCCATCACAATCCTCTAGTTTCTTAAGCAACATGTAATTAAGAAACTAATGATGAAAAGTTCTCGATATCTACATTTGAATTAGAAACGCAATGTCTGTCGCCTACACATTATCTCAATTCGCACGTCATAACGTGTATAAACTCCCACACATTATCTTCCATTCTCTATACGGATCTTGGAATCTTGAAGCTTCGTCTTGCAAATCTCTTCATCCTCATTCATCAACCTTCTCGAAATGTCCTCCAAACTAACTAGTGAATGTGAGAACTAGCACCCAAATCCCACATAGATCCAGGATCCATAACTCGACATGATGTGGGCACTTCTAGGGAATAGTGCCAAAGTCAACCATCCCAAGGGATGTGCAAGACATCACCCTAACTAACAACCGCGAGCCGCACTCCTATATTTTGACTTTGTTCTCAGTGGATTCATCCGAGAGATCTGCACAATGTGGCTAATTTTCCGCGGCCAATTTATGTCCAACGCCCACAATGCAAGTATTTTGCCTCTTACATTCTCTGTTTCCGGAAAGGAAGAAAGTTCCGTCGAACATCTAACTTTTTTTTCTAGCCCTAAATAACATGCCGCAAGTCATACCAATAACAACCCAAAAGTGTTTTTAGTATGCTCTTCCCCTAATTTTTCTTTTGTACTTTGGTATTATAGTTTAAGACTCGACTCACTATTAAGCTTAACTTGCTCAAGAATTATTACTTCGGTTCAACAGATTTCTATAACTCATTGCGTCTCAAATTAAACTGCTTGTTTATTATTTATAGGGTTAAACTTCACTCTTTTTTCTCTATTTTTGTTAGTCATTTGATAATTTAAATTGTCATGTTACTACTAATTTTATAGATCTTTATTCTTTTGATGTAATTTTCTGGTATGTAATTTTTATTTTTTGATTCTACACAATTTTTTTATATAAATTAATTCAAAAATAATTTCAGTCAAATATCATAAACCAAAATAAGCAATTTAAATTAAGACGGAGACCATTTGATTCTTAACATCGATCGTGGGGCCAAATAATTTTTTGCCAATCTAAAAATGTACCCACAAATACACCTTGCGGCAAGGTCATCCCACCAAGTTTGACCCAATTTGACTTTCTATGGTTTTGCGCATAGTTTTGAAAACTGGATTGGACCGGCCGGTTCGGACCGGAAACCGGTGAACCGGACACCAAACCAGTATTTGAACCACTGGTTCAACATGTGAGTCTAACATGCATGTTCATATGTAAGCCTTGTCGATATAATTTTTTGCACGAAAAATCTTAATTCTTTAAAAACAAGTCAAAAATCAAAATGACTAATACCATATTAAAGAGACCAACTCAACTAAGGCCAGTGGTAATGGGTGTGACGCCCACCGGTGTCATCCCCCGTTTAACGCCTGGGAGCGTTAAACACCGTCCCCAAGGGCTTCAAACCGGCGTTATCGGATCAGCGTCAAAGGTTTGACGCTTTCTTCCCTTCGTCAATGGCCAAAAATGGCTATTTTAGTTGTTAACCCAAAAAAATTCTAAATTCAAAAAGTGAACCTACAAATTCCCCCAACGGTCAAAAACGGCTATTTTATGAATGTAATACTTTTTAATGAATGTAATTTTTTTAATGCACTAGTCTCCTTTCGATTAATTTAAATAATAAATTAATGAAAATTTATTAATTTAAATTTAGAAGATGTATATTTAAAATGTAAAAAATGGAGGTTTGAAACCCCTATTTGAAGCCCCGGGGCTTCAATTGCATTTCCACTGTCACTGAATCTGTGAGGTAAGTTAAATGTGCCGTGGCAGAGAGAGAAATTTTGAAGTCTTGGCTTGAAGCCCCGGGGCTTCACGAGTATTTCCAGTGCTCTAAATATTTAAACTCCGTACTTTTTATGTTACTCCCAAATTATATCACAATTTCACATGATCAAATTTCATTCGCTTTTTTTCCCTCTATTTTTATTAGTTATTTGATAAAATAATATAGCCATATCATCACTAATTTTGTAGATTTTTTGATATAGTTTTTAAATATGTAATTTTTTTTATTCTATGCCATTTTTATATAAGATAATTTTAAAATGATATCAATCAAATATCGTAAACTGAAATAAAAAAGTTAAAATTGGACCGAAAGTACTCTTCACGAAAAAGACCACGGAGTAATTCAATGCTCGGAGAATTGATATGGAGTAATTTTTGCTATGCTTCACCGTAGTATGTAACACAGAGAAATTATGTCCGTGAAAAACAAAGTTTTTTGTAGGAAAAAATTGTGCAGGGTACTACATTAATTTTACTTTTTTTTGGCGATTATTTTTAATAAATCTGCCATTATCTCATACTCCGTACTTTATAATATTTTTATCTACACTATTTATTTTATTCTGTAGATTAAGGACAAATATAAAAAGTTGTACAATTTTTAATATTACTTAATTTTCATGCCAAGCCAAGTCAAATAAGAATTTTTCTAAACGGTACCTTAACAAGGAATGACTTTTTTTATTCTTACCCCGGAGTATTTTTTTTGCTGCAGGTTGGAGCACATCTGCATCTAATCTTTCTACCCTTTGATGATTATCGCTCGGTTTGCTTGTCTTTTTCACTCCACAGTTCACTCTCCAAATCTTCCCCTCTGTGAATCCAACACAACTTTAGGTATGGCTCTTACTAACAATTATCCACTTCATCTCACAACCCATCAATAAGTTTCTTTTTCTTTTTAACAAAAGAAAATTAAATCTTTTTCCTTTTCTGCCATTTTCACAACCCACACGAAGATTGCTACTTTTTTTTTTGTGACTGTCCCAAACAGAGAAATCTTGAAGACAAAAGACATTACACCCTTTTGAAAAACCAGATTTAGCAGCTTTGGGAAGTTCATATACTCCATTATTTAAAAAAAAGTTTCTGAATTTAGGTTTATCAATTTGGGTGTTTCCAGAAAGACACAGAAAGGCACAAACTTCCAAGTTTTTTTTTTAATTTTTATTTTTTTTATTATAAAAAATTTTCTGCTCCATTAGGGTTGAGGTGAAAGATGCAATTTTTTTGTTGTTGTCAGTAATAATGTAGAAACATGGCACATGAGCATCCACTGACCGGTGGACATATTCTTGGTTTGGTTGGTCTTTATTGTTTTGATCTGCTTGTTCTTTCTTCCTCCCCTTCACAGTAGATTTGATTAAATTAATATATCTTCCCATGCTTTTGACTCAGAAGACCAGATATGGTGTCTAGATTCTCTGTATTGCATTGCTGTTGCTCTCTATCTCCTCTCTCCCTCTCTATCTAGCTTAGCTTTGTCTGCCCCCATTTCAAGATCAACTGGTGGATCCACATCCACATCAGTAAAAAAACAAGTAAAAATTACAAGGTACTGAGTGAGATTCTGCTCTTAGAAATGGCCCATTGGGGAAAATTTACTTGTTTAAATTCTTTTTCTTTATTTTTAATCTTCACTGTACTGGCTTGTACTATGATGGTTCTGTCTCATAGTTGCAGGCTTTAATGTTCTTCTTTATGATATTCTTCTGGGTTGAACTTTTGTTGTTGTTTGAACTTACTTGTGAATGTGGGTGAATTTCTTCTTCTTGTTCTTGTTGCTGGTGCTGTATAATATATTTATATATAAAAACAGATGAGTGAGGCTGTGGCTTCTGGTCTGCCACTTGAAGTGTCAGTTTCCTTTGGGAAGTTTGAGAGTGATTCATTGTCTTGGGAAAAATGGTCATCTTTTTCTCCAAACAAATACTTGGAAGAAGTTGAGAAGTGTTCAACTCCGGGATCTGTGGCTCAGAAGAAGGCTTACTTTGAAGCCCATTACAAGAAGATTGCTGCCCGGAAGGCCGACCAATCGGATCCGGAGAAGCAACTGGATCCCTGCCGTTCACGATCTGATGAACCTAACCAGGAAAGTCGTGTTCAAATGGTGCCCGTTCTTGAAAATGGTGTCTGCCCGTCCAGTGTCTATAGATCTGAAGCAGACAATGTCTCCTTTGATGATGGAACTCCTCGGATGAACCTTGGGATAAGCAATGGGCATGAAACCGCGTTGGGTGAAGAAGAAGTAGAAGAAGCTCCCCCTCAAGAGAAGCCTGAAGTAAGAGATGGAGATGGCATTGTCTTGGATAAAGAAGAAGAAGAAGAAACTCCTCCTCACAAGAGCCCTGAAATAAGAAATGGTGATGAATTTCTCCCAGCTGAAGAAGAAGAAGAAACTCCCCAAAAGAACCCGGAAATAAGAAATGGAGATGAAATTGTTGCAGTTCAAGAAGAAGACGACGAAGAAACTCCTCTTAAAAAGAACCCAGAAATAAGAAATGGAAATGAAGTTGTAGCAGTTCAAGAAGAAGATGAAGAAGAAAGGACTCCTGAAAAGATTCCGGAAATAAGAAATGGAGATGAAGTTGTCACAGTTCAAGAAGAAGAAGAAGAAAAAACTCCACAAGAGCATCCTGAAATAAGAAATGGAGATCGAATGGTCTCTTTGGTAGAAGAAGAAACTATTCAAAGGACCCCCGAAGAGGTCGTAGAACCAAAGGTGCTCAAAGCAGACAGCAGTAGCGGTAAGCTGAAAGGACATAAGAAGCGCAATGACCATAAGGTAATTTTTTTAAACAGTTGGTTTTGTGATTTTATTTTTCAGTGCTATCTAATGCATTTGATATCACTTGCATTCAACATTTTCTAGTGTTCTTTGGGTATTTGTTTGACCTCACCTAAGTTGCTCAGAGATGGGGACTGTTACTTAAGTGGGGAAAATCAAATGTGGAAACACCATTTTTCTGAATTTTACAAAGAATTTGTGTGTTGGGATGTCCCATGTACGCAAACAGGGATGTTTCAGGGATGAGAAGCGTCACTTGAAAAATCCGTGCAACATAGGATTCCACTGGATTATCCGAAAAGGAAAAGAGCTTTTTGTAGAATTGGTTTCAGCAAAGAAGCAAATAAAAGGGCTACTCTTTTCTGTTTATTATATGGTCTTTAATTGATTTCAGCCAAATAGGCCATAACCTATACATGGATTTTTACTTTTTATCTTGTTGTGTTTAGATACATCCATCTATGAATGATCCAACGCCGATTGGGACAAGGAAAACATTGGCATCGCCAGCTGTGAAATCTTCTAGAGTTTCTGCTCCAAGATTATCATCACCAGAACTATCTTCTTCCAAGGTTTTGGGAAAGAAGCCAAGCGGGTCACCATTGCAGAAGATCATCAAGAATACTCCCCTGAGAGAAACCAAGAAATCATCTTCCAAGGTTGTCTCCCCTCAATCTTCAACTAAGATCCAGAGCGGTTCCTCATTGCTCAGGAGCAAGATTTCTTCCTCCATCACTGATAATAGGAGAGCAAAAATGAGTTCTATGCACATGTCCCTCAGTTTGGGCCCCGCAGTGCCCACATCAGAAAGTACACAGAGAAAATCTGTTGTTTTGGAGACAGTCAAGGAAAAATCTCATTTTGCAATGAGAGGGTCTTTGATAATGGATAAAATGGGGGACAAGGAGATTGTAAAGAGAGCATTCAAGAGTTTTAGGAACAGCTTTACCGAAGTGAAATGTTCCGGTGATGAGAGATTTAATGGATCTGAACAGGTTTGTTTATTTTTTCGTAATACTGTTTTTTAGTTTACATTCATTTACATCCACTTCCAATGGAGCTAATAGTCATCATTGACAATGTTTTAGTTTCTGGCACAAAATGGACTAAATCAAAATGGGAATTTGAACTTCCCTTGCCTCTCAATTTATATGAAGTTTTGGTTTGATTTACTTGAGGACTTCATCTTCCTATTTTATTCTTTATTAGGCGACACCTAAAAGGCCTGAGCAGAAGATTTCACCATCTATAGCTCGCGGAGAAAATGCAAGGTAAAATTTATGCATCCTTTTCTTTATGTTTAGAAAGAACTTCCCCTGACTTACAGTTGAGCACCATCTGTCTTACTGCCATCTCTAAAAAAATCATTTTTTGGGCAAGTACAATTTTTAGTTTTAAAACGAATCTGTTTTAATCTTAGTTTAGTCATTTATTGACGGTTCATGAATGCTAAGTGTCAGAGTGATTATTCATGAGAGGATGATTTCATCATTTAAAATTGGGTTGTGTATATGAAACATTAAACATATACTCCATTTGTTTCTTTTTAACGGATTATTATGACTTTCTTGATACTTACAAAATGAATGTATGCAGACATAAAGTATATCAGCATTCATTCATTTTTCAATTATAAAGAAAATCATAATAGCCAGTTAAAAAAGAACAGAGAATAATAATGTTGAGACAGAGAAATTAAATGTTAAAGTTTGACACAAACTCCCAAAGTCACCTTAATTTTGAGGACCGAGGGAGTAGTTTAATGGGAAAGTAGGTAAGTGTAAACTTCATTTTGGGATGAAGGAATTATTTAATTTTTTTTTTTTGGAAAATGACATGGAAAAAATAACTCCATTGATGAAATATGACCTTTTGGGATTTTAAAAAAAAAACTCAATTCTTTTTTTGATTAGTCTACTCTTGTTTCTTCATTGCGATAAAAAACATGTTCGGTCTGAAGTGCATTTATTTTAGTTTCTTGTCCCTCTTTTCAGCGTCCTTTTTTATTTGCTTATTATAATTATCTTGAAATATGCTGTTAAAAAGTTATTGACATAAAGCATGTTTCTTGGCATTCATCTATACATGGTTTGTGCTTTATCTCATTATATAGATTTGGGAAGCTGGACGAAAAAGATACTCCTCAGAAAGGCCAACCTGTAACAAAATCAAAATCTGTGCCATCAAGGTGAGATTTTTGGAAAATTTTACGCGTTCCGTTCCCCTTTTTAAGTCATGGATAAACTTCCCTTTGTGATAAATTGGCACATTGCCACCCTTTAAAATAAGTTTTATGCTTTTAAATTTTATTGCAAGTAATTAAATGTATTACTTATAAAATAAATTTATTAAAAAACGCAAATATAAAATGATAACACAAATTAAAGATTGTCCTTATATTTCACAAATTTAAATTGTTAAAAATTTATTTTTCCAGACAATATGTCCAAATAGCTTATAAAATATGCTCAATATAGTACTCCGTATTTTTCTCTGTATTGTATACTCTGTTGTCCCACAAAACTTATACCACTTTCTCTTTTTGGATGTCACAAAAAACACTTTCCACTTTATTTCTGTTTTAGTAATGAACATGTAGCTTACAAGATTTCTTTCTAATCTTAACAAGTTCGGTAGCATTGACATGAATGTTTCCGAATTTGTTTTAGATGGATGTTCAAACTCATTTAGTCATTTTTATGTATTTCTTTTATATTAAGGGTAATGAATTTAAAAATTTGATTTTTTTTCCTAAAAGCATATTTATTTTAATTTTCATTTTCCAAGGACCTTGGAATATGAAAAATAAAATAATCATGTAAGGTCTGCGAACACACACCCAGTTCGCACCCTATGATCTCCCCAGACCTTACTTCTTGTGGGATTTGAGTCATTTGACCGAGCATGTTGTTTGTTGCAACAACGAATATTTGAACTCTAAATTATTTTACTTGGGAACAGGACGCCCAAAGTTGTAGGCGTGGAGAAGAAAAAGACGATATTGACCAAACCTTCATTTGGCTTGCGCAACCGAAAGATCAATGAGACACTTGAGAAGGTCAGTAAACAATTAAACATCTCCCACTTCTCCAAGTCCCAAAACCCGTTTTTGACGCAATTTTTTGGCCTCGTTTTTTAAGTTGGCATGTGGGCAAAAATGCCGAGTATTTTGCGTTCTTTTTTGCCTTCTAAGTTATGTGACTTACGTCGACTGCATTCTTACCGGTTTTTTTTATATATAAATTTTTTTTGCAGGAGGGTAGCAAGCCAAGGTCCATCAGCCTGTCAAGCAGGTGAAAGTGAAGCCAAGAAACCAGAGAGCTTATAGAATCTTATGAACATACTTTTAAAAAAACCCAGCAGTGTTATGACGTCACCCATTCTTTCTGTGTACAAATGCCCCCCCCCCCCACCCCCAATGTATGAATTAGTTCTGTGTCACTGTTCACTTCCTTGCAAGCTGTTTGGTAACAAGGATGGATAACTATCTGAGAAAATTACTGTGTTTTTTATGTGTAGTACTGACTAGTGGTATTATGAGTTGGAAAAATAGAGGCCATGGAATAAAATAAAGGTTATTCTTAGACTTTGCTTGCATATATACATTCCTAAGGTATCTGGATTATATTACTCAGAAAAAAAGTTTTTTGTTGCTGATAGTGAAATTCTACTAAATTGTGTTCAGATTAATTTGTTTAAATATTGGTGTAATTTGAAATAATAAAATCTATATATATTTAATGCTCCCTATGTTCTAAAGTTAATTTTTCATTTCAATTATACTTTGACCATTAATATCTTTATTCACATGTAAATATATATTGTAAAAGTAAAACGTTTCAAAATTATGTTTCAAAATGAATCTAATGATATTAAATTTATATGAAAATTTAATGTATTTTTTTCTGTAATGTAGTCAAAGTTTAAAAGTTTGACCACAAAAGTCAATCTGGGAAATTTATTTAAGGACGGAGGGGGTAATAGTTATAAACGAAGCTCTATAAAATGAATCATGACTTGATCGTGCTATTTTAGCAAATGATTAATGAAAATAAGTAATGGAAAATAAGGAAAGGAGAGATATTTAGACTGTGATTCTGTGAATAGTGCCAAGATAACTTCTCGTGATGAAAGGAGTGTTAGTAAAGTTGGATAGAACCGTAGAACACTTCTTTCATAAACCATTTTTCACCATTCAAATATTGAAAATAGGAAAAAGTTGTGTCAATACTTTAAAAAATTTAAAATTTTACAAAATCTATTTAAGGCTTTAAGTACATAATTATCACTCGTGCTTCAAGAGTTAAAATGTTTTTTTAGACGAATACTCAAAGATACATATTGTGGTCTCATAATTGCCTCTAGAATCGTGAGATCCAAGTAAAGCGGAAATTCTCTTCGAGTATTATTACAAAAATCTTGAAATACTTTCGTAAAGTTTCAAATTTCTGAAAGTATTAACAAGAAATTTTCCTTAATAGGATAGGAATTTTTTCTATCACTCCAAATAAAGAGTGATTGTGTACTTTCTGAACGTTTTTTTGCCCCCCCCTTCCCCCAGTGTAGTGGGATTCAACTGGGCTGTTGTTGTTTTTGTTGTTGTTCCGGGATTGGTAAACTTGAGATTGTTTAGAAGATGCTAGAATCCCATCAGGTTTGACAAAGAGTTTGACAACAAGTAAAGGTCTAGTGGATTTCTGGCATTTTGTTGTTTAGAGTATTAAGAAATACTCGTTACAATATATAAATTCCAAGAAGCAAATGAATAAAATGAAACATTTATATTGTTTGAACTTTGCTGCTGAAAAGACTGAATTTTCCATTCAAGAAGACAGTACAAGAGAGATACACACGTGCTCTTTTCAAAATCAGGAGAAGAAGAGGGCCAAAATTCTATTTCAGATATACCTAAAGGATTTGTATTTGAAAAAAAAAAATAAAAAAGAAAAAGGGTACAAATGACATTTCAGTGGCTTTACAGGTATTCAGATAAATCTTCTTGCTTCTCCAAATCCCATGTTACTACTTTACCATCCAGCCCTGTTCAGTTGAGAGAGTGACCAAGCTTTAGCATATTATGATCCGGAAAATGCCTACTTTAACCCTATGGATGACACCAAGGTTGACATGCCAATCAGTCCATTAGAGAGTCATTATATATATGAAACACTGACAGTGTCAACCCTGATGTCATCCACAGTGCCACAGTGTGACTGTAAGACGACCCTTATGATCCATGTTCTATAAAGTGAAGTGTTAGGCCCTACGCTTGGCACCAGACGAGGCTTGAGCGGGGGTGTATACATAGATAGACATGATTAGACAAGGTTAATTCTGGAAATCAACCAAAGAAGATTTGATATGGTTTGGAATCCCGAAAAAATGCACAAAGAGAAGATACAGTGGAAATTAGAGAAGAAATAACTATAATTTGAGTATTGTAGATAGATTCAAACCTCTCTGAGTATGTGAATGTGTACAAACTTCTAAAATAAATATGTTTAATTTTCTTATAAGAAAATAGCTTTAAATGGCATGTTTTTCCTTTCTCAAGTATTTGCCGGGATCCAAACATACTCTAAAAACAATGTTTGATGAATAACAACAGATAAGAACATACTAACCTGATGTGCTAAAATGGGTTACCGCACAGTCCCCAGATCTCCCAAGCGGCATAATGCAACTGAAAATATCCAAAAGGGGAGAAACAAGGAATCAAGATCTGCCTATTTAGCTAGACATAAAGCCAAACAAGCAACACTTAAATATGTAAATTATTACTTGATGCAGTTTTCATGGGCAGTTCGTGATGGCTCCACCGAGTTGCTGTTTGCTCCATGTTTTGATTGGCCATAGAATAACCCAAATGCTTCTGAAAACTGGAATGTGAAGATAAAACTTATAAACTATGATAGAACTCAAGCAAAATTATGCATTGGAGAAAGGTTCTACTAAAGAGACCCATTTCTCAAGTCATTTTTCCTTTTAGAAAATTCAATAGATCAAGTCATCTCAGCCAAATAACCCTTCACATACGGCCCTAAGTAGAAGCAAGCCAGTTTAAAGTACCTGAGATCCATACTTTGTGCTAGAAGATGTTGGTTTCCTTTCATCTAGGAACCTCAAGAAGCTCCTACATAGAAAAGAAACAAGTTTTTTTTTCACATCTATAAAGAAAAAACCTTAACTTTGAGATGGATTAACATTGACAGTGTACAATTTACCTCGAAACCAATAAAGGGCACAAAAAAAAATTAAGGGCAAGTTTGGTATCACAAGCAATTTTCCATTATGGTTTTGGAATTTTGACGCCCTAGTGCAGAGATGCAAGAGGCTTATGCTGGTGGGTGGCAGTAGGGGAAGGGGTGGACCTAAGAAGAGCTGGAAGGAGGTAATTAGACAAGACTTAGGACTCCTTGCCCTTTCCGAAGATATGGCCCTAAATAGGATCATTTGAAGAGCTAGAATTAGAGTAGTTGGATAGGTGCCTTTGGCTAGAGGGTAGTTTCCTGTACTTGTGTGTTTTGCATGCCTTGTATGCTTGGTGCTCCTTGATTGCATTACTTTTCCTTTGTTAACTCTAGTTTCTTCTTTGCCTCTGTGCTTTGTACATCATCTGTGCTTTAATTTCTCTGCTTTATATATAGCATTTGATCTTTTATATCGGTGCAGTTTGAGTTGGGGGTCTCTTGGAAAAAGCCTCTCTACTTTTGATTAAGGGCAAGGTCTACGTACACACACACCCAGACCCTACTCTCATGGGATCCGACTGGATTGTTGTTGTTGTGTTGTTTTGCAATTTTGAGAATTCCTAACACTATTAGTGATTTCATAATCTTGTATATCTTAGAAAAATAGAAAACAATATCCAAGGGAGGGTAAAATGTTTGTGTTGGATATTCAACTTACCATAGACCTGTTTCATCTGACACAAAAATCATTGGATTACAATCAAATCCGACTCCAATGACCATCCGCTCCGAAACAAAAAGCACCTGAGAGATTTGTGTTGATCATGAATAAAAAGAATATAATGTGAAGAAACAAGGTAAAATGAGAGTGGATGCTGACCCACATCGCGAAGAGGCAAATCACGGAATGCTACACTTTGTGCAGAAGGGGAGGGGCCAATTTCATCAACAAAGTAAATCATTGAATTGTGCCCTGTGGGATCATACTCGGCAGTAAATACTAAATACAGATTACCAATCAAAATTAACAATACATATGCCCACATTATATTTTTTGTCTGCATAGATATCAGGGAGAGAGGAAAAAAAGGAATCTCTGACCTACATAAGCTAATGTTTTGCCACTTGGAGACCATTTAACACCAAATGCCCAGGAAAATGAGAGATCGAGCTGAATGATTTGCTGCATGACAACATGAGTTTGCTCCATCAGTACACATTGAATCCTAATAAAGGTATGTTTGGCTGTCAGGAATGTGGTGAGGGGGTGGGGTAGGAATTGGGTGATGCCTCCCTCCCCTCATTGGGTTCGAAGAATAGAAGCTGGGGGGGGGGATCTATCCCCTCCCCCTCCCCCTTCACAATCCCCTCCAATTAAACACACTCTCATACTCTGTATAACCCCTTCCCTCCCCTCCCCTTGAACCAAGCACACTAATAGCATAAATACCTTAGCAAAACAGGTATTGGACCGCGGTTTATGCAAAATACAATAGTTAACTTTAAAACAAATAATAGGCATACAAATATGTTTGCATAGAATGTTCAAAGAATATCCATAGCATTGTTAAAAGAGGGCAATTTCTAACCTCTCCAAATTTTGAATCTGAATAAGAACCTGCTACTGACTGCCTGCTCATTGAAGCAGATATAAGACACAAGAAAAACACATATGGAAGCACATTAACATGATACAAACAAGATGAATTGCAATTTGATAAAGGTACCTTGTGTCAACACCCTTAATGAAAGTAGAGAATACTCTGCACTTTCCATCAGTAGATGTTGTAGCAAGGAGAATCTATCCAATGAAATAAAATACTTAAATTAAGTTTGACCAAAGAATTATTCGCAGCCATGATTTTTACACAAAAATGACTAGTGTTATTAACTTATTAGAACCAGGCTGAAATGTAGTTGAGAGAAATGGATAGTAGAGTAAATGTGAGTCTCATTTATTCATACAAAATTAATGTTGGGATTAACGCTCTGTGTTATTGTTTCATTAACTTTGCTTTGCATGTATCAGGATTCAATTCAACCTCCACACCTATATAAAAACTTAAATGAAAGTTCTAAATCATTCAATAGAGAGTAACAATAAGTCAATAACTGTTGATTATGCTTCACAAATCTTAAATTAATTACATAAATGACATGATGGCAGCTGATGAAACCAAACAGGTAATAGATAATGAGAGCCTCTAATGTTACACCACTTCAAGTGGTGTAACATCATGACACCAGTGGTTTTGAGGCACCTACAGTGCTCGGTTCGTAAAATAATAAAATTGATAGGTCATACCCCCCCCCACTCCATCAATTTCACCCTGACTCCACCCCAGCCCATGGATCGCCAATTTGGCAACTATTTTTGCATGTTGGCTGGGGTGGGGTCGGGGTGAAATTGATGGGGTGGGGGTTTAGGGGGTAGGCCCATCAATTTTATGAACGGAGCACCATAGGTGCCCCAAAACCATTGGTGTCATGTACTGGTGTCATTTTCGTTGGGGTGACATTACAATTTCCCATAGATAATAAAGCACAAAATTGTGACATTATGTGTACTTGTTATTTACAACTTCTAAGTTATAAGATGGAGCAACTAAGGAACCTTACATTATTAGGATGCCAGGCAACACTAGTTACAGAAGAGTCGTGTCTTTTCCTGATAAGCTTACTGACCCACCTGTGAAGGGGGAAGCATTACCCTTAAGAGATACAAATAACGAGATACGGCGGATAGAGAAAAAACAGAAAATTATTGACCATATTATATTACGGTGTGATTGTGTGAGGTAGTGTTCTAAATAACAAGCTGCAATATATTAACAGAGAAAAAAAGGTTTAAGACTTCAGACAAACCATTCTCACATAGTTCCACCACATTTTGCAATGTATTAAGGCACTTAGTACCTGCTTATGAAAGCAGAAAATTACCAGTTATTCTCTTGCTCATAGTAACATATGCAAACAGTTTTGGCCCCGCTTCCAACTGCAAACTTGTTCTCTGTAAGTAGAAAAAATATCGATGTAATGTTCAACCTTTTGAAAATACCAAGTTAATAAGGAAATATCATGCATCACAAAAAGCCTATAAAGTATAAGCAATGAAACATAAAGTTTGAAGACATAAAGTTTGAAGACATAAAGTATAAGCCTATAAATTGGTGGTTCAAGCTTATAGGTCCCCATAATTAAACATAAAGTTTGAAGACACAATATTCAGATTCCATAAGGAAATGATGAAATGCATTACATACACTGTCTGGAATTCTGGAGTATAACCAACATGCAAAAGTAGTAACTCACTAACGGGAGATAAAAAAAGCTGCTTCAATACCTTGAGGGCTCCACTGCACACATAGAGCAGCACGATTTAGCCTGAGGATAACAAGTGTCGGCACCCATTCAGTTGCTTCCAAGTTCCAAACATACCTGTGTTTTATTTTAGTGATATGTAAAAAATGAAAATATACTTGTAATTAGACAATTAATAAGATCAAGTATGCAAAACATGCAGGTAGAAAATCACTTACGAATTACGATCATGTGAGACAGTAACTATTTTGTTGGATCTCATACTCCAGTCTATCCCTGAAACAATTTGATCATGCTGCCACATGAGGCAACAATGGCAATCAAGGATTCAAGGGTATTGTCAGCAAAACTATCAACGACAATTGATCCTCAATTTTGATATATTGCGTTTAAATACATTAACCAATAGAAAATCTCCTGAGGCCATCCACCAAAATCAACATATTCCACTATCATAGATATAGTAGAAAATTACTTTGATGGGGTAAAATAGGAAAAATGAAGTAGGAAGCAAACAAGAAACAAGGAATCAACAGAAGTTATAGGGAAAATAACTAAAAGAAATAAAATGTCATCAAAGTTAATACCTTTTGAAGAATATGAAACTTCTCCCATTTCTCTTCTATAAGTCTAAATATGTGCACTTCACTGTTGTTTGGGCACAGGGCAATCACTAGAAAAAGGGTATATATCCATTAGAAAATTTTAAATTGTTATCCAATACGGAGCATTAATAAGTAGACACGACCACATGCACAATTGCCAATTCTGTGGTGATTCAACACCAGCAATATTCTGAACCATTGAAACATAGCCCCCCCCCCCCACACACACACACACACACACACAAAACAAAATTTTCTTGGTTAACTAACTCAATATTTGGCTTCAGTTTGTCACATGATTAGCATTTCAGCTGTGAAATAAACTGTAGACCAACTAAAGCTACACCCATTATTTGTTCAAAAAAAAGGAGAAAAAGCTACACCCATTATGAAACATCTGTGTGCAAACAGATAGCATTGCATTCTCATTAAAATCTCGGATTCATTGACAAATATACAGCACTTCAACAAGCAACAAATTAAAACTAACATCGCTTCTTTTTTTCATTTAGCCGGTAGAAATGAAAATAAGTAGGAATACAAATTCAGGACGTCTAACAAATAAGGGATGCGAATGTACTGGAGCTGTCAGGACTCCAAGCATGGCAAGTGATGCATTGATCGAACTGATTTACTGATTCCACAGCCATTGAATCTCTGGGCTGCGATTAACGAAACCTAGAATTAGCATTGCCTAGGGGAGGAAAGATCAACTTCAATTGAACATTACAGCGAATCAGAAGAAATTGTAGGATCCGAATCAGTGAATTGTAGGGGAGATCCGAACCTGAAACAAGATCTATATACACTTTTCCGAATCAGAGATTAGCGGGGAATGGGAAACATGTAGTCTACTCCAAGAATCAGCCCGCTTGATCCAGAAGAAATATACAGAAGATCAAAACCCAGTAAACGAACCCATGGTCATATATTCTTCAAAGTGGGAGCTCATACCCAAAGCTCCTCTTTTAACAACACTCCTTTACTTTGCTCTTAAGCTTTTAAGTCTCTCTTTCTTAATCCTTCCCTTCATTTTAATAGTTCTGATCTATTTATAATAAATTCTAATTTAATCTAATTTGATCTAATTTGATTATAATTATATTTAAATATATTTTTTATTTAATCTGATTTAGTTTAATCTGGTCTGATTCCTATTAGAAAAAAGTAATAAAAATAAAGTCATATTCTCTTTATCTGGTCTGATCAGAATAAGTTTTGATTTGATCTAAAGATAACTTTAACCAAATATTATAAACTGTAATAGGATAAAATAGTGAGATGGAGAGAGTTTGTGACAAAAATAGTGGAATATAATAAAATAGAAAAGCAATAACAAAACAAATGAAATATAACCTACTGCTTCCGGTCATAAAAATATTGAATATTTTGATTTTGAAGAGATTTAAGGAGAGTGTATTTTGATATTAAAATTCTAAAAATGTCCTTTGATGTAATATGTAAAAATAGATTTGATGGATAAGTTATTAGTAAAAAGATATGATGTGATAGGTAGGATACGAAAAAGTAAAGGGTAAAAGTAATTTTTTAATAGAAATAAGAAGTGTTTTTTGGGACGAATGAAAAAAGAACATTCCATGTTTTTAAGGCCGGAGGGAGTATTTTAAAAAGAAGGTGTAACCTTACACGAATTGAATTGATGTACGATTGTTGCACCAATTTAATGGGAGCACATATGGTGTTCCGATCGTAAAATTGATTGTAAACCCCTCATATTTGGTCTGTCACTTATGCACCCTTATACTCCCTTCAATTGCACAAACCAAATTATAAATTAAAAAACTAATCATAAAGTCAACAAAAATTTGAATGTCGTGTATGAGGATTTACCAAGGCCCGAGGGGTTAGTGAGGGTTAGTAAAATATAGTGGAGATTTGTCTATGGTAGTCTAACTAAATTAGTATAACAATCTTACACCAATAAATGCATGTATGACCAACCCTCTTTTAAAAAATACTCCCATAGTTAATTTTTTCAAATTGTCCTTGAATTTCTGAACAAGAGCCTATAAATGCTTTTCTCCCGAGTAGCCTAAACTTAGTTTGTTCTGGTTTTCTACTATAAGAGTATCACTACTCATTACTCTTTATTCTCCTCCCATATCATTCATTTATAATGCCACATTATTTTTTTTCTCTCGTATTTTTCACCATTCTCTGATCATTTATATGTTTTTTTACTTCATTTTTACATTTGTCATCCAATCATTGATGCATTGGTGCACAAAAAATTAAATATGCATTACATTAATAAAATATTTTCACTCTCTAGAAGAATAATATTGCCTCATCTTCTTCTTTCTCTCCTATTTTTCTCAACTCTCTAATCATTATTCTCTCATTTCTCTTTCCAAGTCATCTTATTTCCCTCTCATTCTCCCTCCACCAAGATGCCCAAGACGCAAACATAAACTAGGGCATATTTAGTGAAGAAAGCAAATATAAAGATTGATATATATCCAAATTTCAAAAAGAAGAAAAATTAATTATTGTTTTCAATATTTGAGAGTGTTTTTCTGTGTCGATGCTTATTGTTGATAAACAATTTTTGACTTATTAACTGTTTAAAAATCAAATATTCTTTCGTGCTACTTGAATGATAGAAAAATTATTTGAGAATATTCATAAACTGTGAAATATAATTTTATAAATAATCTAATCAAAATACAAAAACAATAAAGTGTCTTAAAAATAATACCTACTTTTTTTTTTTTTTGCTATAGCCATTGATAAGCCATATCTTTTTCACAAAAACACACGGCCTCAATTTGTTATCTCGTTTGTCGGGGCTGTCCAGTTTCAACTACCGAACGAAACACAATCCAGCATTACTCGCCGGAAGAGCAATGGAGTGTGCCGGAAAAGGGAGCCGAACGCCGTGCTCTGGCCCGGCCACCAGGCGCTGCGGACGCTGCCAAGCCGTTGCGTACTGCTCAATCTCTCACCAGGTATTCATATGCTATTTGTCAAATTCATCTTGAATTTCCATTTCCAATTAAGCTAACAGCGGCTTAATTCAGAATGTTTTAGATTTAGATAAATAGCGGACTAGATTAAAATGACACAATAAAAATCAAACCTCTTTTCCTTCTCACTTTCAATGAAGTTTTGGTAGTAAATCCAGCAATAATACATCAAGGGGGTAAGACAACGCAGTTTACAGGATGTTGGTAAATTCATCTTGATAATTTATTTTTACATAAGGCTCCAAAGACATGTATATAATAGTTTATGCTACTGTGTCAAGGTTTCACATTGGAGTGTTCATAAGGAGGAGTGCGAACGGCTGGAACAACAAATGGATGACGCTGATGTTATTAGTGATTTCCCTTTCACATTCACCGAAGAAGCTACTACAAAGGTATGCATTGGATTGGATTTACCTGCTTTAGAGGTCGGACATCAATTTTTTATGAAAAAAACATTTCCTTTGCAGGTGTTTGATCGCAGCCAATCAAGGTGTTCATTCTTGGAAACTCGGGGAGTTCACCGCCTGGGGATGTGGATGTGGGAGTGTGCATGTCGGCCAAAAGTTGATTCTTTAGATGTATTAAGGTTTTCCTTCATTCTCCCGTAATGTGTGTGTGTGTGTATAATTCCAGGAAGGAATGCGATTATTTGGAATTTTGGATATGAAATCTTCATGTCTTCTTTTACAACTGCAAAATATTCATGAAGTATGAAGTCTTTGACCCATTGTTTAGATGTTGGGCTGCCATCAATAATTCCCTATGATGTACTCCATCCGTCCCATAAAAAGAGTCTAAATTGGTTTTTGTCCCATATAAAAGTCCTACTTCTCAACTTGACTATAAATGTAAGTAAACTTGATGCTTTGTAAGAGTTGTATCTTAGTAAAATTTCGAAGTGGTAATCAAAGTGGACTCTTTTTACAGAGCAGTGAGTGCTCAATTTAATGAAAAAATCTTAGACGTGGTTTTGTGATGAAATTGGGTGTTCCTAACACTATAGTGGCTTTGGTTTGCTTATTCAAAAAGAGGTGATTCTGATTTTAAAATCAGGTGATTTTGGAAATCACTAGAATTGATTTGCGCCACTGGTTAGGGTGACTTCCAAAATATCACTAGTAGATTATAGAGGGCAATTTATGAAATCTTGTTCTGGAAACCGGAATCATGTATCACATTTTGGCCAAAATATAAACATAACAGACAAAAGGGTGATTGTGTTTCTAAATTCTAAAATCAGAAAATTCACACCACAGTACCACACATGTAAACCAATGGGATGGAATCTTATTGTATCTTATCTATTAGGTTTGTTTTGTTCTCAGGCATAGTGAGGGATGGAATCTTTCGAGCATACTATGCCCTTGCAAAGGTAATGCAAAGTGTGTAGTATTTTTTGTTAACATATCTATATGCTTAGTATTGCTATAAGTGTTCCTGCAAATTACTTAGGATGAGAATATTTACGTAGGGCCATCCTCACCAATACTGAAGTGTATAAGTAGCTGGAAAGAATACTACGAATGGAGGTGCATCCCACTAAATTCTCCTGTTGCATTACTTCTTCACTGGGTATGTTTTGTATTTAAGTGGGTGATTATGGATGTTGACTCTTGTCTCTTGATCATTTCCATGTACATTATTAAGGATTATGCTTCATATGCCATACCCTATTTGGTTAATCATACTTAAGCAATTTTATTAGTATAACTTTGGCCATCACCACCACCACCGTCACCTCAATCACAACTATGGTAGAGTTGACGACATGAATTTAGTTGTGTCAACCAATTGTCTAAATCAGTTCACATTGTAAACTCATGTAAAACATTGTGGTGAATACCATTCATATTGAAACCTTCTCTTCAATAATCAAGCTAGAATTTTCTCTATCTAGGCTTTGTTTTCTCTCTAGCCCCAGATATCTGAATCCTTTGCTTCTAAAGAAGGATAATGAACTGAAATGCCAACTTCAACGTCATCATACGGACTTTCCACTTGGAAAATATCAAGATGCAACAATGAGTAATGATACTTGCTAACATTTTTATTTTGCAAAATTGATATTGTGAATTGTGATACTGCAAAATCTATAAATCATGGAACCTCACTCGGTATGGAACTTTGTTGTTTCAATTCAAAATCTAATCTTCTTAAAGCATTTTTTTATTTCACGCATTTTCATACACTATTACACTGAGTGTCTTCATCCCATCTTTTACAGCCACTAACAGTGTATTGGGCCATTCAACTTGCAATCATGAGAAACCTAGTTTCTGAACTTGAGGGTGGTGAACTTCACATACATTATTTAGGTACCTTGTCTTGAGCCATCTATACTTATATGAGTTCGTAAATCATCTTACATTTATAACCCTACTTCTCTCTCAGTTATATTTTGTAAATGTATAGAAAATTATGGGTAGGAGTAAGGTCTGTGCACACTCACCCTCCCCTGACCCCCACTGTGGGATTTTACTAGGGATGTTTTTGTTGTTGTACAAAATTATGGATTCACTTTCCCTTTTCTCTTTCTTAAAACTGTGAGTGTGTGACACTAAGTCCATTCTCTTCTTCATGGTCTTATATACAAAGGTCCAGAAAAAGAGCTTTGCCAACTTGCTATCTTTGGCGAATTGCATGCACTTCTCCCCGGAGTTAAGATAGACATATATTTTGTTGGAAATAAAGTTCCACTGGACAGGTAAACTTTTTACCATTTATTATTCACCAACTTGCTATCTTTTCCATTTTTTAACATAAAAAAGTCTCTTTAATGCATGAAGTTTTAAGGAGTACTCAGATTATTATTATTATTATTATTATTATTGTTGTTGTTGTTGTTGTTGTTGTTGTTGTTATTATTATTATTGTTATTATTACTATTATTATTATTATTATTATTATTATTATTGTTATTTTTCGTTTGGGGTTACATCTTGCCCAAAACATTACTGGCCTACTCTTGGGTGGGATGTTCAGGGTATGGTCTGGATGACATCACTTGCCTTTTGTTTTTTACTCCTAGGGATGGTGACAAAATTGGGCTTTACAGTTACTGTCGTTGCATTGACGCAGACTGCGAATGCAAATCTATGAATGCTAGTTTTGGATCATTCTCACCCACAGATAAATCTTGTCCAGTGACGTTACATCTTTGTGCTGGTTATTATCACGATCGTTACAGAGATCTATCAAAGGTAGTTTCAGTGTAATTTCCTTTCCAGTATCTTCAATCTAGATGGTCTGATGGGCTTTTAGGGCACCACAGTTGAGATTGTCTTAGTGTACCTTGGATCGCCCTCCTCAAATCCACGGGTATTTTTGGGCGATGCATAATTTTTCTAAATTTTAAAATAAAGAGAAGGGGATATGGTTTGTGCTAATGACTGGGGCAATGAGTTCATAGTAATCTATCATTTTATACCAATATCACTTATTCTGAAAAATAATGAAGTCCAAAGAGTATTTTCCTAAAATGAATATGAACTCCCACCACCACCACCACCACCACATCCATTTCCCCTCCAAAACCCTCCTCCCAAACATACCCTAAAGCTTCATTTGGAGCCCAGAATATTGCAGGGAATGAAAACAAGAATAAATTTGAATGGAAAAGTAAAAGCAAAGAAAATCTGAAGGGAAATAAGAGATANCTTTATTTTATTGTCCAAAAAAGAGTCATATTTGAGTAAAAGAATTTAATTTTTATCATGTTTGATGATATATATATATATATGTGTGTGTGTGTGTGTGTGTGTAGTGTACATTTCTGATTAAACTAACAAATAATTTATATATATAGTTTATTTTGAAAGTATATAGATTTTAATTAAACTAACAAATAAATTGTGTAATATTGTTAGATTTGATGATTTCTAATAGCCATCTTACACAATTTAAAAGTTTGTGCATTTGTGATACATAACTCCCATAATGGGAAATTAGGATTATGATTTTATTTATTTCTATATTTCTATTTCATAAAGACTAAGAATCAACATGTGTTATACGTGTGTATAATGTATTTTCAGAATAAGAGATCTTTACTATTTTCCCCTTCCCTTAGCAACTTGTAAGATACAAACATAACCTAAAGCCAAGAATCGAAATGTGGGTATAATGTATTTTCAAAGATAAAACAAAACATAATAGATCCTGATATTTTCTCCCTTCTCCTAGCAACTGCTATCCTAGGAATTTTGTCCATTGGTCGTCTGTGAAGGGTCGTGTCTGTGGACGGACCCACAACTATGCCATGGTGCCCTAAGCAAAGCCCAGGATTCAGATCATTGTTTTTTTGCTACTAACAATTCAATGTAAAGCTCACAAATTATCACTATCTGTTATGCTCTGTCAGGAGTCCTCCCCAAGTATAATTATTGCCCCAAATGCTGGTATTGCTGCTTATAGGAGCTGGTTACCAACATTAGTTAGTCCTTAAACCCATAGTTACTCTCCATTTGCAAGCCAAACAGTGTTTATATGCTACTAAAACACGACTGTTTTCCCCAGGAATTGATAAAGAAGATTAAAGCTCCGGCAATTTTCTCTGATTATTGCGAAGAAGCTTGTTGTCTATCAATGAGTTGTATAAGCTCAGTAACTGGCTCTGATCCAAGCTTTCCTGTAAGCTCTCTTCTTTGTTCTGATTTATACTTTGTGCTGATTTTATCAAGGGTGAGACTAAATTTCCCGTTGCAAGTTAGGCAGTGTTTGTATGTTGCTAAAATCATCACCTGGATTTGCTAAAACCGCTACCACTCATATAAATTGATATTTGTCATTTAGGGAGTGGATTTAGTGAGTTAGGGTGTGGATTTAGTCTCATCCTTTTATTAATTAGAGCGTGTTTGATGAGTGAACATGTTTGATATGATATGAGTTCTGAAATCTAGAAGAAATGATATGAGTTCTAAAATCTGAAATAAAAATCTTTTGAAGAATGTGATATGACTCTTAGTGACAAGCAGTGGGTGGCTGCACCAACTGTAGGGGGCGGTGGTAGCAGGTAGCTGGCGGTGGAGGGAAATATCAAAATACCGGATTGGTATCTTCCAAAATCTTGAGATATCAAAACACCCTCATTCGGGAAGGTTTTGATATCGGGAGATATCAAATTCGAACATGGTTTATATTTCAGTAAACACCAACAAAAAGTTTCTGATATTGGGAGAGATATTAGAACCCATATTTTCTGCGCTCATCAAATGGGCCCTTAATCTGCCATCGTAACTTTCCCTAAATTTTTTCTTTTTGCATGCTTTACCCAGATTCAGTTAAATCCCTTCAGGCAACCCCTTGCAGTTGAAGACAGTGCTCTGTGTATTCCTTGCCACTCCAATTGTTTTCTTTTTGGCATCTGAAAAGGTGCATTTTTTGACTCTTTTTTAAGTGAATAAATTAGTAGTTCAATATTTTGTTTTGAGATATGACTCTATACATACTATAAGAGCTCTTTACCCTGTACGGGTTAGGAGAGAATACAAGGCGCGCAAGCAAAAAATGTACTATAAGAGCCCTTTGTGGCAAATTATAGTGTACATTCAGATGTAGATACATTCTGTGCCATTCTTCTTCAATTTCATTTGATTGCTCTTTTTCTTTTTATAATATCCATTTCTTTGTCCTCTCGTAATTGTGGTTGTTTTCCTATATCTGCTGGGTTTAGATTATAGCTAGATAACTGTCCAGCCGGTTTTGGAAGACACTTGGATTGGATTCATTATTTTAGTTTAAAAGAGAGGATATATTAACATGATTTTATTTTACTAATATTTTATTAGGAGTACAATCATACAAGAATTAGAAAGTATAAATGATATCTACTCTCCATCCCAGAGCTCAAAAGTACTCTTGTAAGGTCCATACTCTGAAATGTAGTTGATGCCAAGACACCCTCTGGCCTGTGGGATTCCATTGATCTTCTCAGCTTCTTCTTCACTCAACTCAAAATCAAATATCTGCAGGTTCTGCTTCATCCTCTCCTCGTTATCGCTCTTCACTACGATTCCAATCCCCTGTTCGTAACCCCATCTTAAGAGTTAAAGCTACCTGCATTTGTTGAATCAATCCCTTCATAACAGTTTCAATCCTTTGAACCACACTTTCAACTACTGTCCATTTGGAAAGATGGAACATGGCTTCCGGAAAACATTTTCAGTTTCTAGTGTTTGGTTCAACGCTTGGAGAGAGGAAAAAAATAGTGTTTATTGTTATAACATGATAAAACAAGGTATGTTTCAATCTAAGGTGTGCAAAGTTGATATTCTGAACCTGTGCTTTTTGAATGTCTGAGGTGTTCTACTCTGAACCAGTGCAAATTTGTATCACATTTGTTTCAAGGTGTTCTGACTTTGTTTTAATAAACAACACCTAATTTATCAGCACATCCCAATACATATGTGAGATAAATCACGAGGTTTAAGCATCTTTAATATGTTTCCAGAGCACCGACAACTTATGGCTAGGGTCAGTCTATCAAATTTACTAGAGTCTTAGAGCTAAGCTTTACTTAAAATCTGGATCTGTAATTTTGACTTTCTATTATGTAGTTTGTAGTTTTAAGTTTGGGAATGGAGTTGTAAATCTGGACTCCTAAGTTCCAGAATTTTAAATGAAATCTATGGTTTGGAGTTTATAGTTTGGAGTTTTAAATCTTATCTTTGGAGTATTAAGTTCAGAGTGTGGAGTTTGCGAACCAATTTCATTTTCATTGCTCACTATGGTTAAAGAGCATCAAAAGACACACAATAGTATTGCTTAGTGGACATTTTCATACCCATTTTTATGGTTTCTCAATATGAATCTCATTTGTCTGTTTGAAAATTGTTAAATTTTCATTTTAATTGCTAACAGGTAAACGCAGCACGGAGTACTCAGGTTGCTTCAGATGCACATTCCCTATCTTCTTTGTAATTATGTCATTGTGGTGAGGCAGCAAAGGTACGCGTCTCACACCAACCTATTTCGTTTGGGAGGAAACTCCACTCGTGTCGTACTTCGCTCAATTTGCCCAATGGTAAAATTTGGAGTTTGAGATTTCTTTGGATGAAAGTGTGGTGCTTGGCTTTACTATTTCTGTGTATAGAAAGTGACCATGTTAATATGTTACTTCCTCCGTCCCAAATTATAATGCCTGTTTATTATTCACATGGTCAAACTTCATTCACTTTTTTTCTTTATTTTCATTAGCAATTTGATAAAATAAAATATTGTTGTCACTACTAGTTTTGTAGATCTTTTGATGTAGTATTTTGATATGTAATTTTTATTTTTTAACTTTATACAATTTGTCATATAAAATGATTTGAAAATAACTTTCCTCAAACATCGTAAACCGCAACAGGCGTTATAAAATGGGACGGAGGGAGTACTATATTGAAACTACAAGCCCATCCGCACGCTTTATGTTGTGTAATGAATAAGTGGATGACAGTCATATAATATAAACTGCATTTGTGGTGAACATAAAGAGAACAAATAGAAATGAGCAATTGCTAATTGCATCAATTAATGTCATATACAGACCATACACATTCACTCTCCTCCAATATGCAAATTTTATTTTTCCTGGAAAATTGATATATAATCAAATCATTTATTCATTTTTTCCTACATGTAATAAGCTTGTGCTTGTTGTACTTGACCTTGAGCCAATTGATTCCAATGGAGGCTCCTTCCCTCACCTTGCTGGCGGCCACCTTCGTCTTCTCCACCCCTCTCTCAAATTTCTCGCTCATTTTCCTCGAAAGCTTCGGGGATGGCCCACCGAGCCTCGCCGGACGCTCCTCCGCAGCCCTGCGGTAGCCCCCTGCACCGCCCCACGGGTTGTCGTTGGGCGGTGCCATGGCTGAGATATGGTTGTGAATGCCACCACCACCACCCCAAGGGGAACAAGATTTTTTTGGGTTCTTTTGATTTCTTTGGGCAAGAAAATGTGGGGATTCTATGGGGGAGAGAGATGTGTGGGGGAGTTTTAATTATGTGGGGGAGAGAGATGAGTGGCTTCCACGCAAAGAAAGAATTCGATGTGCAACCGGCCAATGAAATGCATATGGCACCTAATTATAATTCTTTCTTCCTCAAAAAAAAAAAAAAACAATTCTCATCTTGACTTTTGACAAATTTTTAGGACGATGTATTTTATATTTGACTTTTTTAATTTTGTCTTTGAATGTGATAAATAAGTTGTGGAAGAAATGATATGGGTTAAATAATTTTTTTAATGAAAGAAGAGAAAAAAATAAAATTATGAAACAAAATGTGTTATTTTCTCCCAACAGTAGGATATTGTAAAATATTTGTAAATTATGCATATTGATTGTAACAATGTTTTTACCCTTTTTACTTGGTGGTGGTTAGTGGTGGTGACAAGCACCAGCCACCACTCAATGGCGATTGTAGAAAAAAAGTGACAAAAATATTACTCCGTATAAATTTAAAGTGATCATCTCATGCATTATTTAATTTTCTATAAATGCCACCCATTTTGTTAGTTACGGGAAATATTAGATGAAATCACTAAAATAGAGTATGTTTTAATAATTGTTGGTTTCCATTAATACCGATTGTTAACTACTCGGTAATTTAAAAGAGTGTTCTTTTATACCACTATTTTTATAACATGAATTAGTGGCATGCAAATTAAAAAAAATTTAAAATCTTGTGATTGATGTAGTGAAGCTAAAAACTAGTAAGAAAAAGATTAGAGGAGTCTCTTGGTCGAGATCATAACAATACATTTTTGGCAGCAAAAAATGTTAATTGTAGGGGAAGTTTGGTCCTCGAGAAGCGTTAAGTTTTAAATTTACACACTGATTGTATGAAGTGGTTGATACTCTTACTTACAACTACGACTCACGACTGGTCATATTTTTTTTCTATTATTCTCGATTGTAAACATCTCTTGGCCGATTTTGGCAAAGATGTAGCCTTTAATTTTGTTTTCCGCTCTAGCGTGAGCTTCTCATCTACTTCAGAGCTTTGGAAGTGGATTGGTTTGCCTCCCGACTTCATTACTCACTCTCCTTAATAAAATTTTTATTCTTTAAAGAAAGATAAAACAAGTAAGAGTCATATAAATATTACGCGGTATGAAATATTGTTCAAGATAAAAATAGTAACACATGTAAAAAAATGTGGAAAAAAATGTTACAAATGATGTTTAAATTATTTTAATAACTGAATAACCTAATTGTCCAAATAAAATTCACACACACAATTTCTTTCTTTTTTACTACCTCCGTCCCATTGTCTTTGTCCACTTTTGACTTTTGGAACTGTTCATCTAAACACTTTGACTCATCAAATTCTCTTAATGTGTAAGCCTAAAAATAGTCATGTGTGATCTTGTTTGATTCGTCTTAACATATAGATTATTAATATATAATTTGTATAATTTTTTAATATACAAATTACAAGATAAAATGGATTAAAGAAGTGCATTGGATGGTGTGTCAAAAGGTAAGTGGACAAAGACAGTGCATAATATACAAATTATGCAATTCCTTTCAAAACTTCCTAAGATTTATTTTTATTTTTACAATTGAAAAACAAATTCTTAATGCATAATTTTTTTTCCTAAATAGAACTATAGGAACATCCCACGAAGAAGGGAAAAGTCAACCATTCAATCTTGGCCGATTATCGAGAAAACACGCCATTATAGTCTAAGCTTCTCCATATAAAATTTCACTTCAATTTTTTTTTTCTTTCAAAAAACCAAAAAACCAAAACCCCAAATTTCAACATGAAAAACCATTATGCTTTCGTAATTATTCAATTTATTGTCACTTTCTCCGCCTTTGAACATTTTACTCGTGCCCATTTCTTTCCCAATATTACTTCCATCCCACTACCACGCGCCTTGCCCGGGAACGGTAGCGCGTGGGACGCCTTCAACAAGTACCTCGGCTGCCGCGCCGGCGAGAAGGTCGACGGGTTAGCCGAGCTCAAGAAGTACCTCCATTGCTTCGGCTACATCTCCAACTCCACCGGCTTCACGGATGACTTCGACGGCTTGCTCGAGTCGGCGGTCAAGATTTACCAGAGGAATTTCAATCTCAACGCGAGCGGTGAGCTCGACGCGCCGACTATCCAGCACATGATGCGGCCGCGATGCGGGAACGCGGATATCGTCAACGGCACGTCCACCATGGCTGCCGGCAGGCCGCGGAATTCGTCGGCGATGATTCACGCGGTGGGTCATTACTCGTTTTTTCAGGGACGGCCGCGGTGGCCGGAGGGGAAGACCGAGTTGACCTACGCGTTCTTGCCGGAGAACCGGCTGACCGACGCGGTGAGGAGCGTGTTTGCTCGGGCGTTCGAGCGGTGGTCGGAGGTGATCCCGATGAATTTCACGCCGACGGATGCGTACCCGACGGCGGACATCCGGATCGGGTTCTACGCCGGGGACCACGGCGACGGCGAGCCGTTCGACGGGTCAATGGGGACGTTGGCGCACGCGTTCTCCCCACCTTCCGGGCATCTTCACATGGACGGCGATGAGAACTGGGTCCTCGACGGCGACTTCCTCAACGCGCCGGCGTCGATCTCCACGGCGGTGGATCTGGAATCCGTCGCGGTTCACGAAATCGGGCATATGTTGGGTTTGGGTCATTCTTCGGTTGAAGAAGCGATCATGTATCCGTCAATCGGGTCGGGTACCCGGAGGGTGGAGCTCGCCGGAGATGATATCCAGGGGATCCAGGAGCTTTACGGGTCAAACCCGAGCTTTACCGGTCCGGCCGCCGCGTTGAATCCAGCCCAGGGTAACGACGACTTTAGTGGGGCCCAGTTTTTGTGTTTATTTTCAAACTTTAGGCTCCTATTTGTTTCCATTGCATTTTTATTTTTTTATCATTAATGTTTTCATTTTAGATTTTTTGGGCTTGGGGGACTCATGACATTTGTACTGTTGATTATAGAATTGCCACATTGCCACATTTGTATATAGGGGTGGGCAATCGGGTCCAGGAACTGGGAGTCGGAACCGGACCGCTAGGTTCAGTCCGGGTTAGGGTCGGTCCTCTTTTCAAAAATTTCAAACGGTCCGGGTCGGTCCGGTCCTTACAAATTTTAGGGTCGGTCCGGTTCTTCATTTTGAAATTGTATTGGACCCGGACCGGACCATTTTTTTAAATCCCAATATTATTTTTAATATTATTTTTAGTAAATATACGGATATATAGAAAATACACCCGCCTAAGCCCTTCAATCTTTTAGTCCTTCCGATCGCAGGCAGAAAAGTAAGAAAACTTTCCATAGTCAGAGAGTCGGAACCCATGAAGATTGTGAATTTTGTTCTCTTTGGAACCCATTAACATTATAATGCCAAAATATGGTTGTCTTCTTTTTTATTATTGCCAAAATATGCCCCTCTTTGTCATTGTTTTATTTTCATTTACGCCTCTTTTTTTATGTTGGATGACTTAAATTAATTTATTATCCCTTTATTTTTAAATATTAGTATCATGACAGGTTCGGACCCGTTGACCCGTGGAATCGGCCCGTTTCAAACAAGCCGGATTAGGTCCGGTTTCAATTTTAAAATTTTGAAAACCCGGCCCAGACCGTTTAAAAAAACAAGTCAAGTCTGGTTTATACAAATCTTGGCTCGGACCAGCCCGTGCCCACCCCTATTTGTATATACTCCTTCCCTCCCATAATATTTTACCTATTTCAATTAACATGCAAAATCACGTGACTTTCATAATGATTTTATTTACAAATTAATAAATAAATACAAAATAAAAATGATTTTCAAAATAAGATGTAACAACAATATTTTATTTTATCAAATTATCAATGAAAGTACAAAAACAAATAAAAGTTATCGAAAAATCGTAATAGTAAATAGGTAATCCTTTTTTAGAACAAAGGGAGCACTTCTTACGGGTCTGTTGACACTGGTCAACAGTGTCACTATAACTTTGTAGCACTTCTGATACTCTATTCGCAAAATTAATAGTTATTCCTTTCCTAACTTGTCCGTCTAAAAAATGTGTAGTTATTCTTAATTGAAAAATGTTAGGGGTACACCTTTGTACCCTATTTGTTCACCACCTCCTCCTTGTCCATATAAAAAAGACAAGAAAGTCAAAACAAAAATAAATAAATAAAAATAAAATAAAAATGAATGGTGGAAAAAGGGATGGTGTATATTTGGGGTGCACTACCATTGCTCTTCTTAATTTGAGATGGAATAGTAATATAAAGAGGAGTAATTTACTTAAATAGAATTAAAATATAATGACTTTCCCAATATAGAATCATATGTTTTTATTTCCCAATATAGGAGTTTTGGTCATTATGAATTAGTCATTATTCAAGTAAATGTCCATCATTAGTGGACATTATTACTCCCACTAAGACATTAATAAGTCCTATTTAGAAAATAAAAAAGTTTAAATCCTAGATTAGGAAAGTCATTATATTTTAGTTTTATTTAGTGCAAATTTCACTATAAAGAGATTGACGAGGATGTGATTAGAGAGAGGCGCGCTACTTTTATTGGTTACTTTAGCTAATCCCATGATCTTTTGCATGTTAATTAATGGTTTCAAATCATTTCAACATTGTGGTCGAACTTTTATTGGTTGACCGTTGACTTATCCGGATGTACGGTGTATTAAGAATTCGGGTCCAATGTTTCTAGACTAAACACTACTCTCTTTCTTTTTTATAATGGAAAATCATAATTTCTTAAATACATTAAAAAAATAAACAAATAATGAAAAATATATATAATCAGGGTGTCACCGTGTAGCTCACACTCAATAAAAAATTGTACTCCTTCCGTCCTATAATGATCTTCCCGGTTCGCAAAACGAAGAAAAATCCCAAGTTTTTTCAATGATAAAATAAATTTATAACCATATCTTTATTTTTTATTTTGTATGTATAAATTTTTGATGTGGTTTTCAAGTTGTTTTGTTCACCACTGTTCTTATAAAATAAAATAGTATATCCGGTACTTTTTTGTGTTTATTTATAAAATTCCCGTGAAGTTGGAATAGTGCTCTGGGAAGATCATTATAGGACGGAGGGAGTACAATTTTTTAAATTTAAGCACCATTCATAAATGTATAACTCATTAAATTGAAGGACCAGTGGTACAATTTAAACTTTCAAAAAATAATCACTAAAATACATCTTCCATCCCTATTCTTAAGTCTCTTTGTGGATGATGAAGTTTGTCTCATTTTATCTTTAAATCAAGTTATTCAAATAATGATACAATTTGTTTTTTTAAAAGGAATACTAAATTTTAAAAAACATCATATCCTGATTTCTATAGAATAAGATTAACATGAATATGTAATTTTTTGAAATAATTAAAAATAATAAGTGCTACTCAAAATAAAAATTAACAAAAATAAGTAAAGAGAATATAGAAAGGATGTGACATAATTTAATATTTTACATTATTTTCTAAAACGAAAAGGTTATTAAAGAATAAAGTGGGTGGGGGGGGGTATAGAGTATGTACTCCATCTATTTTCTACTCCTATAAAATAACATCCCATTTGGAACAATGTACGATATCTTATCTTCTTATTAAAATTATTTTATTTACTTTGTATAAATTAGTATAAAAATCAAAAGTTTAAATTATATTCCCTCCGTCCCAAAAAGATTTACACCTTTCAAAAAAATTGTATCCCACAATCTCCTACCGATTTCTATTAAAAAATCACTTTTATCCCTTACTTTTTCAAACTCTACCTATCACATCATACCTTTTTTCTAATAATCCACACATCACATCCTACTTTTACCCATCACATCAAGCGTATTTTTTAAAAGTCAACACAAATTATCCATCCTTTAATTTCAACTTTAGTCAAAACGTGTAAATAAACCTTTTTGGGACGAAGGTAATATATTTTAAAAGTGAATCAGAATGTACTTTTACTCTGAGACAATATGTGGTAAAAATATTTTACTCATAAATAAATACGGAGTACATAAAATTTACAAGGATGTTAAATATTTATGGAATGAGAGTGTTAGGCATATATGGCAAGAAGTGTAGTTATGGTAGAATTGTTATTTATGTTAGTTTCCATATTTGGTGAATCCTAGTTGATGTAGGGATTCTCACCTATATAAACACTCATGTATACAATTATTCAGTTGAGTTGGATTACTAAATCAACATGGTATCAGAGCACAAAGATCCTAACCTCTCTCTTCCTTCCCTACGCTAATCACGAGAAAAAAAAATCGGCAGAGCCGATCTCTCCACTGCCGATCTCGCCGTGCACAGCCATGGCTTCTACCTCGTCTGATCCTATGGATCGCCTTCCTACGGGTCTCAAGTTGTTTGTCCGGAATCTTCAATCCCTAACCCCGGTCAAGCTTGATGACACCAATTATCCCTCTTGGTCGGCTACCGTCCGTGCAAATCTTCTCGCTCATCGTCTTCTCGGCTACGTGGATGGGTCTGAATCGTCTCCTCCGTCGTTTGTCCTTGATGAAAAGGCTGCGGCACCCGGCAAGGATCAACCGCCGGTCATGAAACCAAATCCGGCCTATGAATCCTGGAATATTATTGATGCTCAGATTCGGGCCTGTCTCCTTGCTATTGTCTCACCCACGGTTCAAACACATATTCATGTTCTTCCCACCTCGGCTGCAATCTGGAATCATCTAGAACAACGGTACAATTCTCTTTCCCGAACTCATATTTTTCAACTGAAGGAGCGATTACATGGTGTTACAAAAGGGACCGATTCGATGCAATCCTATTTGGACACTTTTTTCACGATTGTGTCGTCTCTCAAACTGGCTCATGAAGAAATTTCTGAACAAGATGTTATTCTCTGTGTTCTTCGTGGTCTACCGGCCGACTATGCCTCCCTCAAGCAAAATATTCGCACCAATATTGCCACTGTCACTTTTAATCAGGTCTCCTCTTGGTTGCTGTCCGAAGAATTGAACTTATCTTTTGAGAAAAAATTATCTCTGGGTGACTCCGGCTCTACTTCGTCCGTCGACATTCATAATGCTCTTTTCACTAATTCCGGACGAGGCAATGGTAGAGGTCGTGGCCGAGGACCACCGCGAGGCCGAGGAGGGCCTTACCGCGGCAGTCAACCCGGCGGCAGAGGAGGCCGGCAGCCGCCGTACCGTGACGACACCCGCGGCAGAGGAGGTGGCCGAGGGGTGTCCGTTACCTGCCAGTTGTGTGGGAAACCTGGCCATGCGGTCTGGAATTGTTGGCACCGCTACGACGAATCATACACTGGTCCACCGCAGGCATATTATGCAAATCAATCCGCTGAGTCTGGTTCGAATTGGCACCTGGACACTGGCGCAAACACTCATGTGACGTCCGATCTATCTCGGCTGAATTCTATGTCACCATATCATGGCACCAACTCCATCACAACTGCGGGAGGTAACACCTATCCTATTGACCATACAGGCTCAGGTATATTAACCACACCCCATCATAATTTTCACCTATCCAATCTCCTTCATTCTCCTCACATTAATTCCCATCTCCTTTCTGTACACCAATTTACTAAAGATAATAACTGCTCTCTTCTTTTTACCTCTAAGGATTTTACGATTCGGGACAACCTAACCAATCAAGTCCTTTTCAAGGACCCTTGTGAGCGTGGCCTGTGCTCCATACCGGCATCCAGTTCATCTCCGGTGGTCAACTCCATCAAAGTCACTCCGTATCAATGGCACTGCCGTCTTGGTCATCCCTCAGTTCAAGTTACTCAGTCCTTATTGTCTCAATTGGGGTTTAAGTTTCAACATCTTGATCATTGTAATTCATGTTCTCTTGCTAAGTCTCATAAACTCCCCTTCCCAGTGTCAGATACTAAAACATCTGCTCCGTTTGAACTTATTCATTCTGATGTATGGGGACCTACTTCTGTACCCTCTTTTGGGGGATATCATTTTTACATTAATTTTATTGATGATTATACTAAGTTTTGTTAGTTGTACCCTCTTAAAAATAAATCTGATGCGTTTGATGCTTTTCAAAGTTTTCAATCCATGGTTCGTACTCAGTTCAATGCGCACCTTAAACTCTTTCGCACAGATAATGGGCGGGAATATGTCAATAAAAAGTTTGGGTTGTTTTTACAAAACTTGGGGATTCTTCACCAAAAATCCTGTCCATATACTCCTGAACAAAATGGTGTCGCTGAAAGAAAGCATCGTCACTTGGTCGAAACTCTTGTCACCCTTCTCTGCACCGCCAATCTCCCAGCTAAATTTTGGGTCGAGGCGTTGGCTACTGCCAATTTCCTGATAAATCGCATGCCAAAAAGGTCTCTTAATCACAAATCTCCTTTTGAGTCTCTGTTTCAAAAAGTCCCATACTATAGTCTTCTCCGAGTCTTTGGCTGCTTAGCCTACCCGTGTCTACGCCACGAAATCACAAATAAGTTCCAGCCTCGGTCTAAACCGTGTGTCTTTCTTGGGTACGATTCCTCCTCCAAGGGGTATCGCTGTTTTGATATTACCTCCGGTCGCATATACATATCTCGTCATGTTCAGTTCCAAGAAAGTCAATTTCCATACTCCACAGTCTCTTCTCAGACAGAGTCTCCAGTTCCTTCTCCGTCATTCCTTGGTGTCCTTCCCATTTTCCCTCTAGCGTCGCCGCGTACACCGCCACATGCTCACAAGGCTACACCAGACCATCCAACTCCCAACCTATTCCCCACCCGAAACCCGCCAATCCCACCCCTAACCCACACCCAGCCC